TCGTCCAGACGTGGAACTGTGTTGAACGTCGGTTTATGTAGGAAAAATTCACCAAACACCGCTTTGTGAATAACAAACGGGTTTCAAAAAATGTGTTGGACAATCGGTGGGATACGTGCTAGGCAGAGTTTCACTTTTGACACAAAAGCTTCGAGAATGCGTTGTCTGGTCGATTGGGCTTTAAGGCAGACAGTGACTGAACAAACAGGACTCTTTTAGCGAAATACACCCATTTCAAACCAATTTGGTTTTGCGAGAGACTCTTATGTGACCCAGCTGAATCTCTTCTTCAGCTCGCAGGCCTAATCCATGCTTAACGCTAACCAAAAACCCTTGCTGGTTCGCACGGGTTACCGGAAGTTGCCACAGAGAAAAAGTTATCATCAGGCTAGACTGATTTTAGGACCTTAGTTCCCGTAGTTGACACATTCTTCGTTGGTAATTTCTCGCAAAAATGAGTGTCCATGGGAACCACCTGTGTCAACCACCTGTTAACTTGATTGGCCTTCCCACATGCTTGTCAGGTCTGTATCACCTGTTCTGTTCACTCCGGGAGGCTTGATCTTAAAACTCCGTTAGACCGGGCTACTCATCCTTTCGATTAAAAAGCCCGAATGCTTACCAAACCGTTCTAAGATGGTAAGCCCTTAATCACCCCCAAAAGATTTCAGTAAATTGAAAATATTGCCAGTTTTTATTCAGCTTTTGCGGCCGCTTTTTACAATTTCATTTGGGCTGACAAAATGTTATCAATATTTTGAGCACCAGATTTGCTCCTTGTAAGGGGGTGAGCTTGTTGGGAGGGATAAATGATGTCAAGGAGAGAGTGAACCGAAAGGCACTACATCCATTAAACTAGGGCGAAGGAATTAACCCAACCACCATGGATGCAAGGCCACAACAGTCAGGCGAAGTCGTGTTCTAGAATACCTTCATCAGACAACTTTATTCCCCCGCTTTATAGACAGAATCATAGCTTGTCATATGCAAAACACGATCAGTTTCTCAGTAAACATACAACAGATGTCTCATTCACGGATTTTGACAATCTATTTCTTTCCTCTGGGATAAAAGACTCTTGTGTGTTAGCAAGAAGCATACTTTAGCTTTAAAGGATAGAAATTTTTTTCCATATTTTTTTTCAAAATTCATCCTCAATTTTGTTGCATACAATCAACATTGCCGTGTTTATTAATGAAGATCCTATTCTTGTGTTTCGCACATTCCCGAGGCGATTCGCATCCTAATCAGTCTATCAATCAAACTAACCATTCGACGGGGAGGGGCGCGGAACAGAGAAACAATGAGGGAGTTAATTAGACAGCATACTGTTAATGCTCTTCAGACGTGCCCACTTGGAAATATATTTCTTCATACGACTATCGACCGTGGTTCGTCTGTCTGATGTGGTCAGGTAACGTTTCTGACGGCGAAACTAGAGCGGGAAATTCCTCTTCTGTGACCATTCTGTTTCCAATTCCGTCGTCAACCAAATCATTGAACCGTTAAGAATGCATTTTTCCCACTAGTGACTTCTTAAAATGTGGCTGATTGACTTCCATCTGTGATGCATGCACACTGCGGTCAGCGAAACAGCCGTTTTCTCATTTCTTTGTAATGTACTACTTATAGGGTTGCTGAAATCAGTCGTGTGTCTCTTGTGACGGCTTCCCCCGGCCAGTGAAGCCAATCTATGCTGGAAAGCCGAGAAGCACTGTATCGTTGTTTCATCCTTGTTGGAAATTATCAGCAGTGCACATTTCACAAGAATCTACCGGGAAGTCTCGAAACTACCACCTCCCGGTTAGTAGGCTGAACATTTCGGTCACACGCAGCCGATGAACAAAGTGATTAACTCATCCAGAGTCCACATCGCGGGGGATCACGCATTGACTGCCTCCTCGAGCCATGAAAGGTTCACTCATCTTGCGAAATTTCAAGTGAGAATTCCCAATCTCCTCACTATCGATCCATACATGGGGAGAATGCCTTCACAAGGTCGATGAAAACTCCAACTAAATGTGGGTCATGATCGCACTGCTGATCAGCTGCTAACGATCGAAGGGTCAAATATTCAAACTATTAGCCGGGGTGCCGAGGGAGTCTCCCAACTGGAGTTTCGCGAGATACACAATGACGACCAGCCGTTTAAGGCTTCGCTGCTTTACAGCACAGATTGGCTTCACTTCCAGGACCAAATCTAAGCGGGAAATTAGCAGATCTGTTCGAACTACCGTCAACTTTCCCCCTCACTCTGTAAGACACTGTGCAGATGTCTTCCGTTTGGCCGGGAAATTGTTCCACAGCTTATTCTTTTTGCAGCAAATGTTGCGTCCATTACTACCGACCTTTCATTGAACAGCAACGTTTTTTTTCAGATTTTACGGTCGATTAAGTACATAGCTAATGATGAAAGGCAACAAATGATCGAGTCCAAACGGGGAAAAAATACAAGCGACTGGCAGTGAATTAGAATCACATCTAATGATGGTCAATGAATGACTGAGTTGAGCGATGTGTATCACATGCACAATTTGGACTCAGAGTTAACATGGATAGTTGTAAATCTGCGTAGGTTGTCGATAAACAATACTGTTCGAACGATACTTGTACGGATTAGTCCCGGCAGGCGCTGGGAGAATTAAATACCGGTAACTGACAGGGGGAAACTACTACTGAAGACAGATGACGATAATTGATACCCAACATTTGATCTGGGCCCATAAGGCGAGAGACGAGGTGCGCTAAATCGAAGATCCGGTAGCAGACTGCCTGCGACACTTGAAGGTGGTGAGATGGCCCAAGTGGTTAGAGCGCGGATTTACTGACCGGAAGGTCCGTGGTTCGAATCCGACTTTTGCTTCTCGACTTCCCCTGTCTAGGCTTGGGCAACCTGACAGTATCCCAACCCTCGTGCAACCTTCGGGTGGCATGGCAGTTAGGCTCTGAAAAGGTGCTACGGCTGAACGCCTTCTTTTCTACACTTAAAGAAATAAGGTATGAACGCTTTTGTCTCGTTTCAACGTTCTAAACTCACGGGTACCGCATTCCATCGACCTTACGGAAAGTCTAATGTTCAGAAGGGGAATATGTTTCGCTGAGACATGCCTAGGTCACTACCCAGTGGTGCTCCGTATGTCCTCTGGCCGATTTCCTCGAACAGCCCCTTCCAGACAAACATGCGAAGGTTGGAAACGCTCCAGGGGAGGTCATTGGCACACATGCATCCAAGTTGTTGTCTTCAATACAAAACCTCGTCTCCGGATCTCCTCGATAAGAAGTTCACTGAAACTCCGGTACTGACGCATCAGTGATATAAGATGTCGCCTCAGTGCATAGTCATCGACGAACGAAACTATGATAGAGTTGACCATTGTGCAATAAATACGCGGTTCTTAAACCTCGAGAAGGCAATAAACTGTGATAGATTTGACAATTGTGCAACAAGTACGCGGTTCTTAAACCTCGAGAAGGCAATGAGGACGGTGATAATGATAACCTAGTTGTTAGTGAACTCATCATACGCTATACATCAATATATCTAGGAAGGTAAGCCTAGAGATACAAACGCCAACTCGATGCTGAGCTGGATAGGCTGGAAAGCAGTACGGGTACCTAGTATCGGATCATTCTGTCAGTGAGCTGGCAGCGTCACGTCTCGGATAAACCCAACATCAACCAGACTTTCATGTACTATACATCCAGCTTGACCTTACTCACATTTTCGTAAGGCCTTAAATCAAACGTTTCCTAACCGCGTCGCAACAGGACAACACGGTGACTGGTCCCGTCAGTCGCTTCGCGATTCGGCAGGATCTATCCACCCTCTTAAGACTCCTTGTGAACCTTGCAAGGGAGACTCGGCAAGTTGGATTCAGCTAGAAACTCGGTACTGTGCCTACCGTAATAGTCTGAAGCAAGATGGCGAGGACCGTTGAAGAGCTCTCAGCACACTTATGAGTAGTGTGTTGCGTCCATAAAACGATATCTCGAATATCGTACCAAATTCAAGCGCCTTCATGCAACATACTCAGTTGAAGAAGAGTGTCACAAACGAGAGATTCAGCTGGGACTCAGGTAAAATTTGCGTGCAGACCAAATCCTTATGCAAATGAATGTATTTGTTAGAACTCAAGCTCGCTTCACTGGGAATGAATACAACTTCTAATCTGGTCTCCCCCCCAACAACGCTGGAATGCAATGACAATTGGTTAAATTCGAGAAACGTAAGCTTTTTTTGGAAGGAATCCCATCCTTTTCAGAAGTTTCGGGTTCCCGGTGTTCAGCGGCCTCACAGTAAGTTTCGTCCCACCCAAAAGATGCGCAAAGTGTGCACGTGACCAGTCAAATGCTGAACTATCGTGTGACAACTAGTGAAGCGATAGACCATCTTTTATGGTGACGTTGTCGGAACCGTCGGTAGGGTGTAAGCTCAAAAAAAAACGTTTATTTCTCGTTGACAAGCGGGACAAAATGAGTCGACCTCCATTGGATCTGGTCATGACACCCGAATCAGACGTTTATCCAACCATGCCAAGCGAAGTATACGTGTGTTTACAGTGGCCTGGCATCGCACCATAAACTATTGTGACGAACATGCCACTAGATGTATAGGCGAAACCTGGAAAATCTTGCTTAGTCCCCTGTGGCGTGCCGCGTGCTTCCAGGGTGTCTAGACCAACGATGCTCGCTGCATGAAACCGTTAGTTTCGCCATGACAGCCGTGACGAGGTCGGACAATGCTGACCGACAAGGTGTAGTTTCGACGTTCTTACCAGTCTCACAGCTCGTTTTCTTGGTAACAAAACCACAATTGGTCAGCTTAGTAGATGTGTAGGAAAAAGGACCATCGAAGTTGTGTGATTTCATTCTTGTTTTAGCTTCAGTACTGATGGACGTCTAGATTCCAGATGGATTTGATTACGCGCGGAATCCACAACTAAGCTGTTGGCTTTGAGAATGCTGTGAGTTTGCAGTAATATCACGGTAATCGGTATTCTTCATACGAAGTTATCAGACCTCAAGCTAGCCCATGATCGTCCATCCCAAACCGTTGTTCACTCCCAGGAGCTACCTATAAGATGTTTGCATTGAGCAATTTTCGAGATGGGAAGTTAGTTTACTTCTCTGAGGCTAATAAAATGATACGTATATTTTCTAAAAAAAGTCGTTAGCTTTTAACACCCTTTTGGTGCGTAGCTTCCGGACAAAGCTTGGACAGGAGCAGTCAAGATGCTGAGGTTAGGTTTGAACCTCAGACCATCCAATGGGCTATCTGGAGCTCAAAAAAGCGATATTTGGGAGTAAGCGCACAATGTTGTTTTTCTGTGGAAAGTGAGTTCTCCCACACCGCTAGGTGGACAGTTTGAAATGCCTTAATTGATTCTGTATGGTAAATTTCAAATGTCGGGTAAATCCAACAAGAAATGATTTGGAAAATTTTCGTGACTGGTGCCGATTTTCTGGTGCTTTGAGTTTTTTCTAATACCGAAAATACTATACACATGTGTGATCGAGGCCTGAATGTTGTCACAATCGTTAAGTGAACTAATTCGACCTATAGGTCACGTGGTCCCAGACTACAACCCACACGTCTAGTGAGGGACAGTAACCCACTCTGGCAGGCATCGGTGATAAACTACGGGAATTCCAATCAAATTTTGGTTGAAACACAATTTTTTTTATCAAGCAGCCACATTAACACACTGAAAATTTGTCCAGAAAAATAATCAACTTTTCATCTAGCAAAGGGGTGGATTATATAAGGTCTGACTATTGGCAGCACAACTCGTTTTCCATAACAAGGTCTGTGTGACTTCACCTCTGCCTGGTTGGAGACACAGAAAGATATGGCTGCTAATCAGTTTCGGTGGCCTCCCTGTCATCAGTTTCTATCAAGGTTGCCCGAATAAGGAATGCCTTTGGTGGTTGCACGGCAGCGAAGCGTCGTTGTTCAACAGTAATTTGTTGTTCATGATGATGGTGGTGACGATGATGATGACGGATTTTGTTGATCTCTGTGGATCAGTGGGGCACAAGGGTAACTGAGTTAGGTGCTGAGAAGGTTGGGCGCTTTCCTTCATCATATCCATCATCGCTATCGTCATTATCATCATCATCATCCTCCTCCTCATCATCATCGTCATCATCATCATCATCATCATTTGTTTTAGCTTCAGTACTGATGGACGTCTAGATTCCAGATGGATTTGATTACGCGCGGAATCCACAACTAAGCTGTTGGCTTTGAGAATGCTGTGAGTTTGCAGTAATATCACGGTAATCGGTATTCTTCATACGAAGTTATCAGACCTCAAGCTAGCCCATGATCGTCCATCCCAAACCGTTGTTCACTCCCAGGAGCTACCTATAAGATGTTTGCATTGAGCAATTTTCGAGATGGGAAGTTAGTTTACTTCTCTGAGGCTAATAAAATGATACGTATATTTTCTAAAAAAATCTTTAACTTTTAACACCCTTTTGGTGCGTAGCTTCCGGACAAAGCTTGGACAGGAGCAGTCAAGATGCTGAGGTTAGGTTTGAACCTCAGACCATCCAATGGGCTATCTGGAGCTCAAAAAAGCGATATTTGGGAGTAAGCGCACAATGTTGTTTTTCTGTGGAAAGTGAGTTCTCCCACACCGCTAGGTGGACAGTTTGAAATGCCTTAATTGATTCTGTATGGTAAATTTCAAATGTCGGGTAAATCCAACAAGAAATGATTTGGAAAATTTTCGTGACTGGTGCCGATTTTCTGGTGCTTTGAGTTTTTTCTAATACCGAAAATACTATACACATGTGTGATCGAGGCCTGAATGTTGTCACAATCGTTAAGTGAACTAATTCGACCTATAGGTCACGTGGTCCCAGACTACAACCCACACGTCTAGTGAGGGACAGTAACCCACTCTGGCAAACATCGGTGATAAAATAGGGGAATTCCAATCAAATTTGGGTTGAGACACATTTTTTTTATCAAGCAGCCACATTAACACACTGAAAATTTGTCCAGAAAAATAATCAACTTTTCATCTAGCAAAGGGGTGGATTATATAAGGTCTGACTATTGGCAGCACAACTCGTTTTCCATAACAAGGTCTGTGTGACTTCACCTCTGCCTGGTTGGAGACACAGAAAGATATGGCTGCTAATCAGTTTCGGTGGCCTCCCTGTCATCAGTTTCTATCAGGGTTGCCCGAATAAGGAATGCCTTTGGTGGTTGCACGGCAGCGAAGCGTCGTTGTTCAACAGTAATTTGTTGTTCATGATGATGGTGGTGACGATGATGATGACGGATTTTGTTGATCTCTGTGGATCAGTGGGGCACAAGGGTAACTGAGTTAGGTGCTGAGAAGGTTGGGCGGTTTCCTTCATCATATCCATCATCGCTATCGTCATTATCATCATCATCATCATCATCGTCCTCATCATCATCATCATCATCATCATCATCATCATCATCACCATCACCCTCATCCTCATTCTCATCATCATCATCAACATCATCATCCTCATCATCACCCTCACCATCATCATCATCATCATACAAATCATTATAATCATCATCATCATCATCATCATCATCATCACCATCATCATTATCATCATCATCATTCCTATCACC